TAAATAGGGACCTCCATTTCACTTCTACTCACTTCTATCTCTTGAAATCAAGCTTTGTTGCCTCATTCTATCAATCTTGCCTTCTTCTCACTTAACTTGTCCTCTTAAAATCTTCTTGTTACTCTCCTAATCCTTCAATGACCTCATCTTCTCGTGCAAAAATCCCCACTAGAAGAAGATTTGCACCCTCATCTCATCCCCGTCCTAATTCTGTAGAAGGATGGATCTCTGATGCAGATGGCCGACAAGAATTTCTGTCCTATTGGAAGGAACGTGGTATTATTTCTCCTAAGTTCCTTATTGGTGAGCAGTTCATCAATAGGGGATTCAACTTTCCCAATCTCCTTGAAATTCAAGGAGTTCTCCCTTTCATCCAAATGCAAGGTACGTATTATCCTAACTTAGTTAGGGTATTTTACTCTAGGTTCAAATTTAGAGATCAAATTGCTACCTCTCGAGTAAAGGGGGTCACAATTATTCTTGATGATGATATTTGGGAAAACGTTGCCCACTTTCCTATTAGAGAAGATGCTATTAATGTGTATGGTGAGTTAGATGATTTTGACAGGATCTTAGCTTATCGTTCTTTTCTGCGAAACCCCTCCATGGAGATTGGGCGTCTCCTTCTTGCTGGACCTTTGAAAAAGGAGGAACGCATGATTTTACATTTACTTGTCTGGATCCTATGTCCCCGGGCTACGAATCATGTTCAATGTTCTTCAATTGATCTTCGTATTATTCATGCCATAATGAATAATGAGCCTTTAGATTGGGGCGTTCTTGTCACCATGACTATGTTAAAAGCCAAACGCCATCCCACCTTCAAAATTCCATATGCTCTCCTTGTCTCTCGCATCCTTGAATACAAAGGAGTAAATGTCGAAGGTGAACAAATAGTACGAACAAATAACTTGAATCGTATGCTAGGCAACACATTGATCCAACTATAAATGGTGCGTGTCAATGATATTTATGTTCACAAGGATGACGTTCCAAACGAAGGTGATGATAATGAAGATTCTGATGAAGTTATGCCTGCTGCTGCTGAGGTTCCCTCTGATCAAATCCAAAGTGTTGGAACTTCCTCTGCTCATCATGAAACTCGACAATCCATGGAAGACATGTTATCTGATATGAATCAGAGGATGCAGGCATTCTTCACTCTTTCTGGAGTACGGCATGAGGAAATAATTCACCGTATATCTTATGTAGATGATAAAGTGTGCCATTTAGAAAATAGATTTGATGCACACTTTAATAGTGATGATAGTGAAGAATTTTAAATTTGATTGTTATATTGTAATGAATGCTTATTTCTGAAATAAAATGTGATGTTCTTTTATTGCTTTGATTGAGGGGGAATTATCTCCAAGTTATGCATATTTTGAGGGGGAGCCCTTATGATTGTTATTAAAGCATGCTTTCAATTTTTGATTATAATCAAAATAGGGGGAGAAATATTTAAAGCCTAATATTATTGTTTTAAAATATTATCTGGTATGTTTAATGTGTTTGTTAGTATGACATATAAAATAGGTTATTACAAGGCTTTAAAAGAAAATTTTGATCATCATAAAAAAGGGGGAGATTATTGAACATTCAAGGACTTGATGTTAGACTTGATGGACATAAAGCTTGTTGATTTTGATGATGATTCAAGAACACAAGAATGTAGAGAGTTGAAGACTTGTTTTATAGTGTAATAACTTTGTTTTGATTAGATTGAGCCTGTAATATTAGAGTTTGAGATAGCCGATACATAGTCTGCACCTTAGAAGCTTCAAAAAGTTCAATTTTATCAAAGTGCATCGGCTTTAATCGATTAAATGGTGAAATAATCGATTAAAACAGTGAGAAAAACCATTTTCTATATCTGCTCACTGGTTTAATTGATTAACACACCTGTTAATCGATTAACAGGCCTGTTAATCGATTAACAGACCTTTTAATCGATTAAAACAGAGAGTTTTGGGGTTCTATTGATTTTGACTCTGTAATAATCGATTAACACTTCATTTAATCGATTATTTCAGTCAGATTTTGATTTTTAACTTCAAATCAACCCTATTTTTGAAAACCCTATTTCCAAGACTCTTAGTTTCGAAAATCCCAATTCCCAAACCCTAATTTCTCTACTTAAGCTTCTCTATGGCACTCAGAGAAGAAGAACAACCTTTTTCATACAAAAGTTAAGTGTTGTGAGTGCCAGAGAACTGTTTGTTGGAAGAAAAAGGGGCTTTTGGAACCTGGTGTGGGCTAGAAGCGATAAGAATCACTAAGTGGAGTTCTTAGTGGATTGAGTGTTGTGCCGTCTCTAGGGAAAACTGTTCTTCATCTCTTGTGGATTTCAAGAGAGGTGTTTTCTTTACTTTATCTTTTCCATTGTAATCTGTTTGTAACAACTGTGATTATAGTGACAGCGTTAATCCTCTGTTTGAGTGATTAGCAACTGGACGTAGGGTCTTTTGATCCGAACCAGTATAAATCTCCTGTGTGAGATTCTATCTCTACTCTATTTACATTTACTCAGTTTTTAATCGGTAAAATTTGGGGAAAATTTTGAAAACCTAATTTTTGTTAAGAAACCAATTCACCCAACCTCTTGGTTTTTGTCCAACCACGCGAACATTCCGTTGCACGATTCTAACAGATAGGAGGAATTTTCTGCATGTAAATAAGGATTTTCGCCTTTTAGGGTCGAGACCGCCGTCTCACTTCTCGGGACCGCCGTCTCGCCACTTCTGCAAGTCGAGACGGCCGTCTCGTTTGGCGAGACGACCGTCTCACCACTTGCGAATGGCGAGATGACCCTCCCGGTTGGCAAGACGGCCGTCTCGCCATTTTGGCAAGGCGAGACGACCGTCTCGACCTTGTCAGACGAGACGACCGTCTCGACCTGACATGCGCGAATCCCTATAAATAGTCGCACCATTCCCCTCATCTCACACAGTTCTTCCATTCTCTCTCTTGTCACTTCCGAAATTTCTCTTCCTAGACACCCTCTGAAGCACTTCCGAAGTTTTCTGAGAGTTTCTAAGAGTTTTTATAGCGTTTTTGAGAGGTTTTCGGCGCTGTAAGGAGTGAAGGCTGCCAAAAAGCACCCTAATTTTCAAGAAATTAATAGAAAGCTTGCCTCGGAGGTTTTTACACTCTCTCTCTCTCTTTTACCGCTTTATTTTTAATTACGCAATAGATATTAGGGCCATGTAGTCGTAATTTTAAATTCCGTAAATAAAGAGTAAAAACATATTTTCACCGGTTTACTTATTTAAATAGTTGGCTCATCATAGGGAACTCGAAAGGGGCGTCGTAAGGAAACTAACACTTCCCTTACACATAACTAACTCCCTTACCCAACTCTGGTTCTAATGACCAAAGTTGATTTTTTCGAAAACCAACGCCTTTTCACTCCTTTTCCGATGTTTCCGGTAAAAACATCCGTGGCGACTCTAGAAGAACCCTTCAAAATTAGTTCTTGAGTTAGCCCGGTTATCGGACAATACAAGAACACCTTTTCGAAAAACCTCGCCCCTAGGTTCAGCCCGGTTATCGGACAACCTAAAGGCGTTGTAACCACACCAATAAAAACGCGAAAATCGGAAAGTCGAAACCATCACGTCGCTCCGACCGTCTCGTTTTGACGACGGCGAAAAAAGTAATATCATTTTAATTTTTATTTTAAAAATAATTATATTCTATAAAATAAATCAACCCATAAGTTTATAGACTAGTTTGAATTAAGCTTATATAGGTTATGCCTAAACAAGTTGAGCCAAAATATGTTTAATTCACTTTAGGTTACAAAATTTTTGACCTAACTTGACCTAGTTTTTGAATATTTCCAATCAGTTTATCTAATTAATTTGGCACCCTTACCATTAACTTTTAAACCCTAAACCCTATATCATCGTAAGTCTTAAGCCCTTAGTCTTATCTCATAAATTCTAAATCTCAAACCCTAATCTTGAACACATTAGACTCTAAACATTAAATCCTAAACCAACTCGCAAATCCCCTGCCCAACTACTCTAAACACAAGTAACAAAATAAATAAAAATTTAAATAAACACCATTATTTTAAAAATAATTTGTGATACTTGTACTTATAAATAGTAATAATATTATATAAAAATAAGAATAAGTACTAAATAAAAATATAATAATAATAATAATAATAATAATAATAATAATAATAATAATTTTTCTTGATATTTAAAATAAATATACTATTTCAAAATACAATATAAATTTATTCAAATTTAAAATTTAAAAAAATATTTTTTTAATTTAAAAACAAAATTAAACCCTCCCTAAAATATAATATAAAGAATAATATGATCTTTAAAATTATTATTTTTTAAATAATACTCGAAGGACCACCTAAAAAAAACTATACTTCTAATATAATTTCTACTTATATATACAATAAAAATTAATAAATATTAAATACTATAATAATAATAATAATAATTATTATTATTATTATTATTATTATTATTTAATTAAGAAATGATATTTTATTTAAATTTATAATTTTTTAAAAAGTATATATTTATTAACTTAAAAAATGTTTTTGCAAATATAATGTAAGGAGTAGCATGTTCTTTTAAAAATACGAGGGTGCAGTCGAAATCATTGGATTGCAAGAAGTAAAAACGTTGCGTTCGATGGGGGCCCGGAGTGCTTTTGGGGGCCGGGGCCGCGTCCACCTTTGTCAATGTAAGTCATCATCTATCAGGATGATAAATAATTCACTATTAGAAAATCCGTAAATTTTGAGAATTGTTCTCCGCAGTCGTCGGGACACCGATTTGGGGTTAAAAAGACATCGATTATCATCTGATATTTTTTCTTAGCTGCAGGCTGCAGTGAGACTCAAGAAATTCTCCGAACCCGCTTCTTCCTATTCTTTCATAAAAAGTAACTAGCAAAGTGATCCGAGCAGCATAGGCCGCTGGTTCGTCCAACAAAACGAGAAAAAAGAAAGACAAGCGTTGATAATGGCTCAAGAGTCACTTTCAGAGACCCCAGATATCTCGCCGCCTTCATCTACAGCACAGCCGCAGTCAGATCCATCTCTTTCAAGAAACGTTTCTTTTAGCCGTCTCAACGCTCAGGCACCAGAATTTGTGCCAACTCGGGCCACCCCAAGGGCCGATTTGCAGCAACCTAGGCTTGTTGTACCACCTCCTCCTCCTCCTCCTTCAGGTTCTGGTATGGTACACGTTTATTCACCGCCCCCAACGTCACAGTTCCATGTACCAATTCAAGGCCATGTTGTCCCGATCCAGAATCACCATCATCATCTTGCCCATCAACATCACGTTCCGGTTCACTACCGGTCTCATCATCACCCGCATCAGTATTATATTAGTTCTGATTCTACAGTGCAGCAGTCTCAAGTTGACCCAGATCATAGCCCTTCCAAAAGCAAACTATCTGATGAAGCCAGTCAGAAAATTTTGAATCAGGTAACTTCACTTATGAATATGCCTATTTCACTACTTATCATGTGATTCCAAACTAAATGGATGATTCGTATTTTCAGTCCTTTGTTAACATAGCTTGGTACACGGAAGTGTTCTTGCCTCTGATTGCTTATTGACCATTTTTAATCGGCGTGTATATCAATATCAGTCAAATATTTTAGGTAGTCGACCATGTATTCATATTTGTTTTGGATCTTATACTCTGTTCTATTCCTGTTCCAACTGGCCCACACAGAACAAGTTAGGTAATGTTTGGATGGAGGTATTTTGAGGGGGAGGGCATAGTTTTTCATTCCTAAATTGGGAGAACTATATAATTTTTAAAACAATAATGAGGGTTTTAAATGGAAAGGGGAAAATATAGTAAGGTTTTTATTTTTGAAATAAGACATAAAATAACTAAGATTGGAAGGTTTCACACTTTGATCACACTCCCTCAGTGATGTCAATGAAAGATGACTAACTCAGAAGGGATTAAATTGATCCTCAGTTGCACTACTCCCCCAGGTTTATTTGCCCTCAGTTATTTGTGTAGCGCATACTTCACTTAGTTGATTGTCTTTGTGAAGGCAGCGTTACAAAAGAACATATCAGTAATCTGGGTTTATACACACATATTCACCAAAATATGCTCCCCATCTTCAGAAAAGAACATATCAATAATCTGATTTTATACACATATTCACCAAAAAATAAGATATAATCCCCCATATTTACAGCTGCAATATATTGGAGTTGACTTAATACCAACCTTCGTTGACCATGGAAGCCTGCCAAAAAGAACAGGTAGGATCAATAAAATGTCCAGGAACTTATTACTCAAAAGCCTATGATGTAGAGGAAGGACATGAGATCTAAAAGAACTTAGTGAGTGTTAGAATAGGTTAACTTATTTGTTATCTATCTCTTCAAAGCTCCCTTATTATCGTAGATGTATTCCAAATTTAAATAAGAAATCGCAAATCAAGTAATGCTTAGTCTAACCAAATATTGTTTGTGAGGTGTTGCAGCAAGCAAATGTGAGAATTTCTTAAATAAATATTGGTTGTAATCTTTCTCCCCTTTGGAGTTATCTCCTCACAAATTATTATCTTTTTCTCAAAGTTTTCCAACATCAAATCAATACAAGAAGCAACACAAGGTGTCCAATATATAATTTCTTCCTTCTCTCCTTCAATAACTCTCTAGCAGCTTTGTTATTTGCTTTATTGTTTAGCACAACTTGAACTACATAACCTTTCCCAGAAGATCAAGCATCTGAAAGATTGGTCCTCTTGAAGGTTCTTCAACAACTTTGGTTGTTGCTTCTTACATGAGATGCATCAATGTACTTCAAAAATGTCATTGCATTGGGGCTATTGACCAAAAAATTCAAAATTGTCCTCCATTTTTTAGTTCACTCGTTAATAATTATTGTGCAAACTAGTCACAAACCTCCAATGTCTCCATTTTCACATCTTTTAATAACAACCTCAAAAGTTTCAACATTGTGATTTGTTTGAGCCAAGTGATGCTTCTTCGTATATAAGCATCACCTATATATTACTTTACAAAAAAAAATTAGCATTCAATTGAAATTGCATGATTCCCTCCCACATCACACTTGTTGCATGAGTATCCAATGGGCAAATTTAGAAGTCATACTTTAGCTGGCATTTAAGGAACTATAGGTTCATGCACTAGGAATACCAGTAACTTTGGAATGCTCTAGTAGTATCACAGCCAACCCCTTTGTGAAAGTATGTTAGGGTATAAGGGGAAGAAAAAGTTAGTAAGCTAGTTAGCATATTAATGAGTTAGTTAGTTGCATAAGGTGTTATTTAGATATAAATAGGGTGTGAAGGATAGGAGAAGAGAGTTCATATTTTTGTAAATTGACCATTAGCTCTTTGTAAAAGGAGAAATCCTTTTTGAAGGGGAAACCCTTGGAGGAGAGTGCACTCCTTCTTATTCTTTTCATTCTACTCAATAAAGAAACTTTCTTTTCTTTTTCTGTTTAATTCTTGGTTCTTAACAAATTGATCCGACCTATTGGATCTTTGAGGGATAGCCAATGTTAGAGATGGAGGAAACACAAATTTTGTCCACGGGGAAGCTACCAGTATTTATAGGGGCAGATCTAATTGGTTAAATTTCTAGGGCTGAAAAATTTTCTGAGGTACATGAAATAGATTCTTTTAATAAGTTGCAACATGCATTCATGAGCATGGAGGGTGTGACAATGCGTTGCTTTTATTATTGGTACCAAGATAACTCTAATTTAAATTGGGAATCATTTTCAACAGCTTTGATAAAAAGATTCAAAGATACCTATGGTAGCCACATATTTGAAAGATTGACTACCATGAAGCAAGAAGAGCACACTAAGATTAAAACATGCAGCAAAATAATGGAGACTTCCACCGTGTTCTTGCAAGGGTATGAAGAGGGTGATCCACATTTGGTTGAGCAAGAAAAAATAGCATGGAGGGAAGCGGGTCAAAATGCATTGTAGCAAAGATTAGTTCTTGGACAAGAAAAATGGAACTACCCACATTTGCTAGAAGCATAGAAGGGGTCTTTGATTTAAAGAGTGGTAGTTTGAGAGTGATGATGATCCATTTCTATTCTTGAAATTAGAAAATAGAAGTAAAGAAGAAGACTCAATAATCAAGTATCACGCCCTTGATAATGGAGAAGAAACAAAAAATGAATAGAATTTATCAAGAGAAGAAAAGATTAAGTCAAAGGAAGATGTTGCTACATCAATAAAGACTGTGAAGATTATGGGCTATGAAAATCATTGTCTTGACAACCCAATTGCTCAGTTAATAAAAAATTCAGTTGAAGGTGGACATTTAACCAAACATTATTTTTTTCCAAATTAATATTTCCATATTAAGAATCACGAATCATTGTTGGACTCAGATTTGATAACGAAGGTGGTTGGAACATCAATGACATTAGAAGCTTTGATTTTTTATTTTTTGGGTGATCCTTTAACATTAATCTTCATTGCCTTAATAAATCACATCTTGGCAATGGAATCAATGCAGAAGGGAGGTTCGCATGTTGTTATACAAAATCCACTCTTATCCCCACCACCACCCAACCCACCAGACCTAAATTTGAATATAGTAGCCATTGATTCACATTCCTGTAGCAGAAAAGTATCACATGCTTTCAGGAAGGGCAAATGAACATAATGGTAACGAGGAGAATAATGGGGTCAAGCTTCCACTATTACAACCTTGAGGACAAGGTTGATTTTTAGGTGGGGTGTATTGTTACTGTATAAGGGGAAGGAGAAGTTAGTAAAATATTTAGCATATTAATGAGTTATTTAGTTGCATAAGGTGTTGTTTAGATATAAATAGGGTGTGAAGGATAGAAGAAGGGAGTTCATATTAGCATTAGCTCTTTGTAAAAGGAGAAATCCTTTGTGAAGAGGAAACCCTTGGAGGAGAGTGCACTCCTATTTCTTGTGCTTTTCATTCTATTCAATAAAGAAACTTTCTTTTCTTTTTCTGTTTAATTCTTGGTTCCTGTTGGAAGTCTTGGAACCTTAACAGTTCCTAACAAAGTATCTCTATGTTAGTAGTTTAGTTTGTAAATAGGGTAACAAAATAAAAGGTGGTCATGGGTTTAAAGAAGTGTGTAAGAAGAAAGTTGGTTTTGAGCAAGAACAACAAAAGCCAAAATACCCAAACCTGTCAACATTGAGCATAGAAGAAATTTGAGTAAAGTACAAAACAAAGAACAAAGAATAAATTGTGGGTAATGCAAAGAATACAGCTTCAAACAATGGTGGATGGCAGTTAGCTCAAATAGAGGAAGAAGAATGGTGGTTTGGGTTAGGTTTCAATGTTGTAGTTGCTTTAGGAAGAAGCAACACCAACTTTGATTAGACTTCACAATTGAACAAGTCAAAGGATAAGATTTGAAAAACATTAACCAACTTGTCACTAACTACAAAATTGGTTCCAAGATTATCAAACTCGAGAGTCTACGTAGACTCGTGAGAAGTTTGTATACTCAACTCGTAAACTCGACTCGTAGACTCGTAAGAGTCTACTTCATATGAAAAATACTAATTTAACAAAAAATATGATAATATCAATTCCACATTATTGAAATAAATAAGTTCATACAATAATACATTGATAAAATAACAAAAAATAAGTTTTGAACATTTTTAATTTTAATATTTATATCTAAAATAACAAAAAAAAATCAATTGATTATGTCCAACAAAATAATCATAATTAAAAAAATAATTAAATTTTTTTCTAAATCCCTATAAACCCTAAATCTATTTGAAAACCCTAAAATCTCAAATTTCTTAATCTAACCTGAGAGAGGGGTGGCTAACCTACGAGAGGACTAGCGAAAAGGGTGGTCAAAGAGCAGCAGTCGGGGTGAGACATGCGACCACTAGGAGAGATGCACGATGCAACCACCGCATAACAAGAGGGAATAGATGGGTGACCAGAGGGAAGAGGCCAAGGGAGCACTGTGACGTGACCACCGGCGACAACGAGCATCAATGAATAGTGAGAAAGGAAGAGGAATGCGAGATTTTAACCTAAGAAAAGAAATCAGGAATGCAGGAGAAGATTTAAGTGTCTCTTCACTTTCAAACTCGGTGACTCGTCTCTGACTCGCAGGTTTACTCAGAGTCCACCGAGTTCACCGAGTTTGATCCCGAGTTTACTCTAAAATGAGTCTACTCACGAGTTAACTCGTCATTGGTTATATGACTCGTTAACTCGTCTGAGTCAGTGAGTTGTCTCGCGAGTTTGATAAGCATGATTGATTTTATTGAAATTTTTACTTTCATCTCTAGCTTACCTTAGTTACAACTTCTTTGGGGGATGCCTTAATTACAATCTAAAGGGTGGTGGTTTTGTTTCTACATCAATTAGAGAAATGGCTAAAATATAAAGCTTAAGCAAATTTCGTCTTACAAGTCAGTTTTGTAGAGTTCAAACTTTAATTCCAAAATTCTAATAGGGTCAAAATGAAAACTTGGCCATCATGTAAAAGCAAAGCGAAAAACTTTCAGACATGTTAGTTTTTGGTAATTGCAAAATTGTAATATAGTATTAAAGTCTATCTTAGTAAGATATATTGGGCCAATTGTGTCACCTACTATTGGATCACTTGTCCTCGGTGTAAGGGGTTCTGTTGGAGATATCACATCTTATAGAGAGATAAGGCCAAAGTAGAGTCTATTTTGTTTGGTAGGTCTTTGGTGCCACCTGTTCTCAAACCACGCGACACTTTCTTATCTCATGCTATAGATATCCAATCCTCGACATGAGGGGATGTATTGGAGATCTTACATCATTTAGAGACATAACAAAATACATTATATAAGTGGGTGAACCTCATATTGCAAGCCAGTTTTGTAAGGTTGAGTAAATCTTGAAGTTCACTTTTTAATATATTAGTGTTTATATATGTTGGTAATTGCCTATTTTACTAAGCTCATCTGGTTTGGTAAACATTTGTGGAGGGAGGGTTTAGGGTTTAGGGATGACAATCTCTAGCCATCAAGTCATTTGGGCCATGCCTCATTGCCAGCAATATCTCATATTTAGGTGATGTATTCCTTTTTTGCAGCAAGATTAAACTCTAACTTCATGAATATTTCCATTCTCAATTTCTTTCAAAATAACACTCAAATTGTTATTCTCTTGAATATAAACTGACACTAACAACAATCCTTGAAATCTCATTATTAGTGTAATTCCTCATAACTATGATCTGCACCATCTTTAAGACCAGTAATAACCATCAAATGTAGGGTTTTGAGGAAATATAATCAATGCTATCAATAAAATTCAACAACAATCTCAAATACCTGTAACTATTTTTGTTGTACAAATAAAAGGTTTTTTGAAGAAAAAAAAAATGATATTTTTAGAAAACTTTGCTCGCATCTTAAAAGAAATAAGGCAGTGGCTTAAAAGAAACAAACTTTGCTCACATATTTTTAGAAAACTATTTTTTGGTCTTCTATGTGTACATTAACCTACAAGAACATGCATGTGAAGTTGTAGTTTCTTCGCCACCAAAAGGACAATGCTGACGACGATACCCATTTGTTCTCTGGTGTTGTGTTTCGTGCACTGCAATCTGCATTATGGTTTCCAGCATAACCAAATCTGAAAAGAAAAAAACACACTACAAGAAGATGCCCACCGTCAAAACCAAGTAGATCCCAATGTGGTGGTCCATAAGGAAAGTCTTAGAACACAATGTCTGCCACCATGCTCTAGAAGAAGTCTTGGAACTACTTCCATCTAAGATCACTAACATAGTCTTTGCTGGCCAAGATCTCATTGTCCTCCTCATTGATTAGAAGTGACTTTTGTTACTTAGGCTACCACGTTGTCATCACTGTTAATGATTTAATAATACCTACAATTCATTTAATTTTACTAACAATATATCAACCAATTATTTTTTATTTTCCAAAAAATTAATTTGTAAAAAAATTCCTATAATTGTTGGTCATGGTAAGTAGTCCACTTAAAACCATATACACAACTCGACCACCCTAGAACTCACCAAGAAATAATTATATGTAAGTATCACTAAATAAACATTCACTCACAAATATGGAAAACCAATCCAACACTTACTCAAACCTTGAGAGAAGCAAATTACCAATGGAAAAAATTAATAAGTTAGAAAATCCCCAAATTACATAGGCTCATGTTTTTAAGGAACCATGTGAAATGATCATGGGGTGGGGGAGCATGGGTGTTGTGAATAAATAGATAGGTGGTCTCCTCTTCGAAAGATAAATAATCAGCTATCCTTTCTTCAACATTATGCAACATTTGTAGAGTTGTCATATGGTATATAATTTAGCGGGATGAGGAGTGGGGGAGCATGCGTGATGTGAATAAAAAGATAGATGGTCCCCCTCTTCAAAAGATAAAGAATCAGCAGCTGCCCCTTCTTCTGCAATATTATGTAACACTTTTTATAGTTGCCAGATGGTGTATAATTTAGCACACATACATGGTATCTACGGGTACTAATAATTAAATATTTGGTATATTAACTATTTCTTTGGATTAGTGTTTCTTTGTTTTTAAGTTTTGTGAAAGAAAGAGCAAGAGGGGGGTATTTCCCTTCAAATTTCACTTGTAATTCAGTGTTTATAAATTACTGCTTCTATTTCATAGTCTTGACTTTGGGTTCAAGACTCCACCCACCAGTATCTTCCCCTGCTTGTGATGTTAAGGATGGGATCCAACTCCTCTAAAGTGAAAATGTGCATTTTAGAAGATAGAATGCACTTACAACTGCCGATTTAAAAATTCAACTATAGAGTTTGTGTTAAAAATGAAGGATATGTATAAATTTTGTTTACTGTTTTTCAAAAACAGTTTTTAGTGGTTTAGTTGTTAAAAACTAAAAAACTTGTTTGGTTATTGTTTTGTAAAAACTGTTTTTGTGTTTTAGTTTTTAAAAACTAAAAAACCAAAACTGATAAAAGTGTTTTCTGTTTTTATCAAAGGGTTTCAACGTTTTTATCAATAATTGCATTAAATAACTCATTTTCAAAATCATAAAGTTATTAAAATCATTTTTCAATTTTCGTTACACGTTTTCAAAAATAGAATTATCACAAGTTTTTTTTCCAACTTATTTTCAAAAATAGTTTTTTAAAATTGATCTCTAAAACTGATTTCAGAACTAAAAAACAAAACTAAATTAAACATGTCTTTAGTGTTCTCAACTATTTTTTGAACCAATGGTTATCGATGTACTTTCGCCTCTAAAGTGTACTTTTCTCGATTTAGAACCAGAAAAACCTAGTGATACTAATATAAAAGGGGTAATTTGTCGATGAACCTTAGTTAAATTATAATTATATAGATAATGAACAACTGTGAACTATTACTGCTTTTTCAGGCATAACAAAAAAGATTATGCATATTTATGATGAATTTCAGAATTTGATACTTCTGCATATTTAATGTTGGGAAATGAAATTTGAAAATGGATAATAATCAAGCCAAGTTTATATTTTTGTGACATCTATTTATATTCATCATAATATATTTCTCTATATTCACTACTTGACAAGGATTTTGGTTGGGATTTTTATATAATAATTTGTAGGTGGAGTATTATTTTAGTGATTTAAACTTAGCTACTACCGATCATTTGATGAGGTTCATCAACAAAGATCCAGAAGGTTTTGGTAAGAAAATATTTTTCTGTTTCCTTGTTTTTTTTACTCAGTAGTATGGACTCAAACAATTCATTCTACTTCCTGCTTGATGTTAATCCTTTCGTCCTCAAGGAACAGGGTGATGGGTGTTCAAAGAATATCATATTGAACAATGTTATTGATATATTGATTATTGTTTCTGTAAGATAGTAGATGGTTTTAGATTTGTTATGATCTTAGTTTTGTAGTATTTCTAATGCTTGTCTAAAACTATTTAGTGCCTATATCTGTTGTTGCATCTTTCAAAAAGATTAAGGCCCTCATAACCAGTCACTCCCAACTTGCAACTGTTTTGAGGAACTCATCAAAGCTCGTAAGTTTGTTTACTTTCTTGCTTCATGAGCTAATGTTACTCTTCAATTTATATTTTTCTCTTTGGATATCTTTTCATAATTTTATTATTGTTGCTTTTACATATACTTCAATGTTGAATTCTCCAGGTGGTTAGTGAAGATGGAAAGAAAATTAAACGGCAGTATCCCCTCACTGAGTCTGATATAGAAGAGCTACAAGTAATTCTTGAGACAATCTTGTGACTAACTTAAGTTGAGCAAGACGGTTTATTAAAGCTGCATTTGGTTTTATTTAAACAAGCAATATCATTTGTTGGGTTCTATGATGATCATACATGTCATATATTCGTTAAGTATTTTATTCAAATGTGTTGTTAATGATAGCAATTTTTATTTTCTGGTAGTCTCGCATTGTTGTAGCTGAAAACCTACCTGAGGATCATTGTCATCAGAATCTTATGAAGGTTTTCTCAGCAGTTGGGAGGTACTATTGTGGCTTCCATTGAATGAGGCTTGCTATGGATTTTTCAAGCTTACTTGTGGTGACACTTTGAATTCTAGTTATAATAAATTTTATGTGGGCATGTGGCAGTGTGAAGACTATCCGCACCTGTCCACCTCAGACCTCCAATAGTGGGGCTTCTTCTGCTTCAAGATTGGGAAAAGTTGATGGCATGCCTCTATCAAACAAGGTATGCATTCATGTGCTATAGGTTCCACCAGTCATTATCCTGTGTTTTTTACATCAAATTTTTAACATGTGTGTTACACTTTATCCACCAGTCACATGAATTTAAGTTCTACTGATGAAATTGAACTTTTAATCTCCATAGTACTGTTTCCAATTTTTTATCAAAATTGTTTGAGGCCCTCCACAGAACAAAGTATTTAAATATGCTTATTAGTTTTTGTTTCAGTCATTCAGAGGAAATTTAATTGCTCCCTATATAAGGTAGGTGGGTTATGTACCATGACTTGCTACGTGTTACTTGTGTTCAGTTTGGTCACATGAGCTTCCATCAATAATTAGATTTCAGGCCTGTTTTGCTACTCTGACCTTGCAATCTAAATATTTGTTTTTATTCTTAAACGTATTTCTAGTTTTCAATGTTTTATAACTTATTTAAACCGGTAATATTATGATAAGTTGTAGACATGCCTACCTGTTTGCAAATTTTGTATTTCATGCTACCATTCTAGGTTGTTCAACATCTTTAATTTTCGCCATGAACTTATGCTTGTGAATCATGCTAGTAATAGGATTCTCTCACTTTTATGTTATAGTATTAATGAAAAGGATGTATTTTAATGAATCTAATACAACTTTTTTGCCAGTTGCATGCATTTGTTGAATATGAATCTGTTGAGCTGGCTGAGAGAGCAGTAAGTAGCAGTACTTTGCTGAGTTGGCAGGGTATTATTTCAGGTTACTTTTTAACTACCTCCATTTAGTGATCAGATTGTGAACCATTCACAGGTTGCTGAGCTGAATGATGAGGGAAACTGGAGGAGTGGCCTCCGGGTTCGCCTAATGCTTAGACGCATGGTATACATTAAAAAATTCCTTTCCTCCATTACATGTATGCTAGTGTCCCTCATTAATGGTCTGTATATACAATCAAAGAGTGTACCAGATGTGCATCCCTAACATTTCTCATTCAAAGAGTGTCAAATAGTGTGTTCCTAACATTTCACATTCAATCAAATATAGAATTGAAGCTTGTTTTATGGCATTTACAATTGGGAACTTGCTAACAAGTGCTCCCAAGACACTAGTTAAAGAATTTAAAGGAGAAAGTTTTCTTTGAAAATTTTCGAAAACTACATCTTTATTTTTGGATTAGTATTGAATGATTAGAATCAAGTTTACACTATTCTGATTTGGTTCGAATTTGTAGTTTTTCGATCAAAATCAAATCTTTGTTATTTGACCTATAATTTAGGTGTAGGAGAAAAGTTTGATTTCATCTAATGTTATTTGAAACAGAACCATATCAATCTAATTTGATTTGATCCCTTTTTATTTACTGTCCATTTTGTTTTTGTTATCTATTATGTAATTAGGCAACCCTGTCTATTATGTCCCTATCGTTTTTTTTTCCTAGTAATCCCTAAATCACATGGTATCAAACCTTCAGCTTTAATCCTTTGGTAGCTCATTTTGGAAAAAATCGATTATGACATTAGAAAAGCAATTATGTTGGATAAAATTAAATATTAGGTTTAAATGTTAGAATAGATATTTTGTTTAAGCAGATATTTACATTAATTTAGATATTTTGTTTAAGCAAATATATTAGGCATTACGAATAGAGAAAGTTAAACATAAAATCTATTCTAAAGCTATAAATACCCATTGTATCATTCAATTTTCACAATACAGAAAGCAATCTTCATCAATCTCTTTCTTATCAAATTGGTATCAGAGCTAAGTTTTGAGTGTTTGAGCATGAGAGAGCTTGAAGAGAGTGATGAGTGGTCTAACAAATAGTGTAGCCTTGTCCCGATTGACAAAAGCAATCAACTACGATAATTGGAGTCTTCAAATGAAGGTCATTCTTAGGTCTCTAGATGATGGTTATTCTTAATCCCAAGATGATTGGGAGATAGTCGATGAGGGTTTTGAATAATCCCCACAAACAAAGTGTTCAAAGAGAAGCGTGCGAAAGATAAGACAGCCCTATACATGTTATACCAAGTTGTTAATGAATCTAGCTTTGAGAAGATAGTAAGTGTTAAAACTTTAAAAGTGTGGGATGCGTTGGAGAGAACATACAAGGGCGATGATTGAGTCAAATGAATTCGGCTACAAACACTACGTGGTGAGATGGAGAGCATGAGAATGAAATAGTCGAAAAGAGTTTACAGTACATCTCGCGTATTGAAACCATGGTGAATTAGCTTAATCGTAGTAAAGAGGCACTTTATGAAGTCCGTATTGTGAACATCTTGAGGTTGTTAACCGATGATTTGAGAATGTAGTGTGCGCAATAGAGGAATCAAAGGACTTGTCCTAGCTCACGATACAAGGGCTGACTGGTTCTCTTGAAACCCATGAGTACCTAAAGAAGAAAAAAAAAAGGAGGCAACAATTCAAATGCTCCAGAGTGAGACAACTATGAAAGAAGAGAAAACTCTCTACTCTCAGAATACTTGAGGTAGAGGGCGAGGATATAATGGTCGAGGTCGAGGTGGTAGAGGTCATGAGGAGAAAGAAGGAAACCAACAAAACTCATGTGGTAAAGGATGTGGTTAGTGAGGAGATCGGTCATCGACCTATAATGTTGAGTGCTTTAAGTGTGGTAAATATGGTCACTCTGCAAAGTATTGTTACTTGGACAAGTGTTACAATTTTGGTAAGATTAGTCATTTTGCTAAAGAATGCCGGGCTGATAAAAAGGTGGACGAGACAATCAACCTCGTAGAAGATGTGAAAGCTGGAGAACCTTTACTTTTGATGGTCGATCATAACTCAGCAAATTACAAGAATGTTGATTACAACTCGGCAATACACATGGGATAAGATTACAGTTCGAAAGGATATGGACGTAATGATGATGACTCAGTATGTTATTTAGACACGTGATGAAAATCAAGATCTAATGATGAACAAAATAGAGAAAGAAATAATAGAGTTCATAGATTGTGGACGATGACTAAATTGTCAAGATATGATCAACCTATTAATGTGAAGTAGGTATTCAGGAAGAAGAGAGATGAAAGGTCGATAATAAGTTGGACCCGGGATGAAGGATGAAAAAAGTAGTCAAGTCGGTCAGATCAGCCTTTGACCGATCACAGTTAGTTAAAGGGAAACATTTAATTTTTTGGGAGAGTTTTGTTGGATAAAATTAAGTATTAGGTTTAAATGTTAGTTTAGATATTTTATTTAAGCAGATATTTATGTTAGTTTGGATTTAACAGCTATTTATGTTAATTTGAATATTTTGTTTAAGCAGGTATATCAGAAAATCAAATATTTTAAAATTGTATCTAAAATAATTGGAAAAGTGGAGGAAAGAATCTAAGAGGAAGATGATGCTAAACTCTGATGATACAAGGATGCAAAAGGTTCAAAGTTTAGCCTTGATTGTAAGAGGACATGAACCAAGAGGTCGGTCCTACGGAAAAACACGGGTGAAATTGTCTCAAGTCAATTCTTAGTCATGAAGATGAACAAATAATGCTATGTCATTGAAGGCATCCTTTGTTGCTATGTTTGAGATTAAAGACCTTGGATTAACAAAACATTCTTTTGAGATGGAAGTTGCAAGATCAAATGAAAGAATTATGGTATCTCGGTAGAAGTATATTGTACTCCTTCTCAAACAAATTGGGATGTTGGGTAGTTGATACTGCTATAGACCTTAACCAAAAACATGGGAGTGAAGGCACACGAGTTTTGGTATACACAACCCAATATCAAAGATTAAGGGGGAGGTTGATTTATCTATTTCATACCCGTCCAAATATAGTATTTTTAATCAGCTTAGTCAGCCAATTCATGCACTGACGGTTGCTAGTAATAAATTAACGTCTATAGGGAATCCTGGTTACTAAGAGGAACAGAGAAAAATGTTGTTACCAAGATCAATGTTGAGGTTGAGTGTAGTGAAGTGACGCAAGGCATTTGTGAGATTCTATGGCTTAAAAGGATTTTAGAAAAGTTGTAGCCAATGTTATCAATCGAGATTCAAATCATGAATGGCCAAGATATTTTTTGATGAATCAAAATCTTGTATTGAATGGTAAGATAGAGGTACAATGAAAAATTTCTTCAAATATATCGAAGAGATGGTAGCTGATATATAGTGTTCAATGTAAACAATTGTAGCATCCTGCTATAACTCTTCCAATGTAGTTATATTTTGATAATATGCAATCATTATCTCTAAAAATCCTGTTCAACATGACTAAATTGATAGGCATTTTATATAGAATAGAAGGTTCATACCAGTCTAATTTTCATGCCTTTTATTTCTACTTTGCAACAAGTTGTTGACTTTCTTACAAAAGGATCATTGTAAACAAGTTGGTGATGCTAGACATTTATGTACCAACATCGGGGTATGTCAACAACTTTATCATTATTTTGGTTGGGATTATTATTGAATAATTACAATCAAGATCAGATTATTATGATTTCATATGATTTGGTTGTTATTTTGGGTAAGAATCAAATTTCTCTAATATGATCTAATGTTATTTTTGGACAATGTTGATTTGACCTTATGTTATTTGGGACAGTATCAATCTGCCTGATTTGATCTGATCCCCTCTGTTATTTCTGAATAAAACAATGAGAAGTATCCTTCCTCCCCTATAGGTCTTTTTTACCTATCAGTTCCTAGAATCACAGAAGTCATGGGAGAGCACATTAAAAAATCACAGGGGATAACATTTTACACATCTCAATAAAAAATTTCCACTGTTAATTCTTTAACAAGTGTGTTGGTTAGCATTTGCCTTGCAATTAAGGCTCGTATCGCCTTGATGACGAGTACATATGTTTTTTAGAACTTAAATGAAATAAGGAAAGAAAAACTATCTAGTCTGGGTGGGTGGTCTCATAAGTTATAATCCTGTTACACCTACTTGTTTATTTTATTTTTTGAAAAACAAAGAGATTATATAGGTGGCAAATTTTGTGATTGAAATGTATAATGTTAATGATATTTACAGTCTAAACCTGCCCAAGGACGAGGAAAAAAGGGACTTGATGTTGAAGTTGGCTGTGATGAGGATTATACTAGTTTGCCTGAGCCACGTGTATGTGAGAAACAATTAGAAGATGCTTCCTTCCTTGATACTCAGCTGCATGAACATGTGGTAAGTGTTTCTGCATATATTTATTGACAGATTGTTGATGGTAGATAATAGTTTTGTTTCATTAGAGCAATTAATTACAAGGTGTGTCCATCAAAATTGGAATCCTTGAATTCCAACAATGTCAGGCTTAATAAACGGTTATACTCCAGCAATTAAATCTTTTTAGAGTATAACAACTTGGCATCAAAAGTCAGCTTGTGTTATCAAGATAAAACTCCAATTACATTGAGAAACATTTAAAATGTCTACGATGTTGTACCTAACTCCATGAGAAAAGTATACAGCTTTTAACATACCTTTGTGAGTGCGTGCATGCTTGGAAACCATTCCCCCTAAGTTTCAGAACACTTCCGTTTGAGCCCATGAAAAGAAAAATATGCTTTCGATCATTGTGGTGATATGACTTTGTTGAAATACAGATATGCTGAGAATAATAGTTTTTTATTACATCATTCACAGCATATGTCCGTGTGTTCACCAATTATATACGAAAATTTCAAACTGGTATTGCGTGGACAAAGTTGCAACTGGCATTTAACTTTTCTATGCTTTAGGCCGTAATTCTTTTAAATTAGCAGGTGGAAGAGCATGGTTATGAAAAAGAGAGTGGACAAAGGAAAGGTCGTAGCCGGGGCCGGGGTAAAGGACGTGGCCGAGTCCATTGTCATCAGAATAATCGTGTGGGAACACCCCCTTCAAATAATACAATTTTCACGGATCAAGTCATTGCCAAACAACCTCCAGGGCCCCGAATGCCGGATGGTACAAGAGGGTTTTCTATGGGTAGGGGGAAGCCGGTAGCTGTTAATATAGCGTAATTTGTTTGATCAATGCGGATACAAGTTTGTTGTTGTGCTTGTAGCGAGTGTATGTTGGTGCTGTAACAGTGTGATTGTGGCAGTACTAGTTTGGCTTGGCCAATTCTGAAACAGTCTTCTTTATTAACGTGTTGTTTGTCTTTTATAGATGCTGTGAACAGTCTAGAAAGTACAAAGAAATTTAAGGATAGACCAAAGTAGGAGTCAGGTGAAAAATGTGTGAAAAAGCAGACATACGATTTAAAGCTCATTTGATTGTGTCGAAAATAAAATATCTTAAAAACATATTATAATGATTAACAATTTTTCTAAAGCTGAAAGATATAGCCTATTTATTTTTTCATCGCGAGACAAAGTAAATCTTGTAAATTTCTCATGATAGCATTCTCAATTATCAATGTAGCATTTTATTTTTCAACAACAGTTGATAAACTCTTCTCTGTCAGGTATTATACAAAGCTAAAAAAACCTTGGTTGAGTTCTGGTTTGGCTTAGGAATGATTATTTTCTAGTTAAAACTCGTTTTTGTTGGATATGATAATGTTCACTAAAATTATGTGAGTAGTGTGCCACAAAAATTATTTTAAGGACTAAATAATTAGTTCATATATATTTGATGCATGAAAATAGTACTTCGCCCTAAAGATAAATATTATAAAATATTAATCTATCATACGTAATATTAATATTATTGTAAAAGCAAATTACATTTATATGGACTATAAATTATTAATATTTACCATAAAAATAAGATATTATACTTTTCAACTATTTGATTTATTTTTTTTCCTTAATTTGATTTCTTAACTTCTCTAAGTAGCTTATTTTAGTCTTTCAGATTTCTAAAATATTCATCTTGGTGCTTATGTTATAGAACCGATGAAAAATGTTAATAAAATCGTATATGGATATCAAGCGTAAATATATGTAGCAGATTTTGTTTATTATTTCCATGTTGGTAATATATTTTATGAAAAAAAAAATAGTTAAGATGGCATCTTCCTCAAATTGATAAATTAAGATCCATGTTATTGCTTTTTGAACTCATTGAAAAACTTTGAATACCATTCTAATGGTTTCGGATTTGAGTGAATTTGAAATATCAAGTAACATTTACTAAAGTCATACGTTTAAAAAAAAATTCATTTTTCAATTACTCTATTATTCATAGATGTATTAAAAATAAAAAATTTCTAATTAAACTATTTTCTCGTTAAAGATGAGGATAGTTAGAAAAATATTAATTTTTTATCTATTTTATTACAAATTAATTAAAACGTTGTCTCTTCACTGTTTTATTCTCAATTAGCTGAAAAATAGTAAAAAATAAATTTTGTAGTAAATTGTTTTAATTAATTGACAATTTTTTTTTTACAAAAAGAGATAATTCTATAACCAACTAGAAGAGTTTGTTCTTGTAAGAACCCTTAACTCAACCAAACCCAGTACTTGTCTTGTCTTTCAAGATGAGACAGGGTCGGGTACCTACAATGATTTCATTTGGTCGGATCTACCGGATGCATTTTGCTCAATATATTGAGATTGGCACATTAATCTAAGTAGGAAGTTTTAAAGTTGCACAACTTTATAATAAGATGCTTCAATATTGACAATTTTATTAGAAAATGTTATGTTTTTTTTTATATGCTAATTTTTGAAAAAAATTTCATCATAGAAAGAGGTTGAAGCAGTAATTGTGTCTTTTTTCTATTATTTAGTTTATAAAGGTTGTTGATAAAAAAAATTGTATTATTATAAGATAAAATAGAAAAACTATGACAATAAAATTGTATTTTATTATGACATTGTAAAATTTATTAACTTAACGTAGGAAATGGTTGGCGATATTATTTTTTTTTGTTTCGTAATGTTAGACATAATGTAATTCTTTGGCAGTAGAAATATGTGAAAAAATATCCTGTACATCATGTTCGGAATTCTTACCCTCTTGACCCTTTTATTAGTTATGGTGTATTAACTCATGTTACTAAGTACTTATACTATAAAATAAGATGACCATGGATTGCATGTTAAGATCTTTTCAAGATCAAATTCAAAAGAGACGAAGAAAAGGAGAAAGAATACTGTACCTAACGAGTTTTAGTGTGCAAATTGAAGGTTTAGTTATTGAAGATTGTGGGATCTAGTTTGATTTTATAACAAGAATAAGGAAATTACTAATTATGTATTGGTTGAACTTGTGAGTCTTGGTTAGGCAGTTGATTCTTGTTGAGTTTTTGATGAAAATATTGTAAAGTCTTTAAAGATTTTGGGTTGATGAGACATTTTAGGTTGAGTTGATATACCTTTATTTTAATATTTAATATATTTTTCTTCTCACTTATAAAAACAAAATCAATTTACTCAAAATGTATTCAAATGTTAGGATCTTCTAGTTTCCCCAAATTTCTAGTTAGTCTTAATTTTAAAATTTATTTTACCAAATTTGAAATTAAAAATAATGATCATCAAGTATTTTTTATAGTTTATAGATAAGAAGAATAAGTAGGAAAAAAGTAATTCCATCTAAAATATCATAATATTTTTGTCAATCTAATTTTTTTTATTAAGTAGTATACTTAGTAGTTTTGTGACAAAAACATGAAAATGAATTATTTTATAAATTTAAATTGTGAACTAAATTTGTTAAAATTAAAGAATTAGACATAACCAACTTAAAAGAAAAGAGATAATTTAGCCTATAAATAAATTGAATAAAAATACACCTATTTAGCTACTTTTATAATAATATGTAAATCAAGTAAAAAAAATTAATAATAATAATAACAACACGACTTTTTTTCATAAATAATACTATTTTTAAAAATATTTCCCAAAATAGCACATCTGGAACATTTTGTACACAACTAACACTCTTTACTTGTTCACGTATTAAAATAATCGATTATTTTAGATTATGATCGATTATTTCGCGCAAGATCAACTCTCGCTCAAGCGAAGAAACCATTCGCTTGAGCGAGGAGACATGTAACAAATGGGTAATCTCGGGTCAATTTTCGCTCAAGCGACGGGTACTTTCGCTTGAGTGAGAAGTGATTGAAATATGTGATGACCCAAGTTGCATTATATGGCTAACTGCGTTGGACGTTTAGCCTGTGGTCAATTCTCGCTCAAGCGATGGGTTACTTCGCTCAAGCAATAATTGATTGGGTAACTACGTTGGACCGTGGTCTATTCTCGCTCAAGCGAGACATCCATCGCTTGAGCGAAAAAATTTATAATCGATTATAATTTGAACTAATCGATCATAATTTTAAAATAATCGAATATACAAAATTATGATAGATTATTTCTCTCTCGCTCAAGCGAAGAAATCCTTCACTTGAGCGAGGAAACCTGTAACAAATGGGTAATCTCGGGTCAATTCTTGCTCAAGCGACGGGTACTTTCGCTTGAGCGAGAAATGATTGAAATATGTCGTGACCCAAGTTGCATTATGTAGCTAACTGCATTGGACGTTTAGCCTGTGGTCAATTCTCGCTCAAGAGAGAAACCCATCGCTTGAGCGAGGAAACCTGCAACTATTTACAATGCTAAGTCACCCACCCAAGTCAGGATTCCCATGCTTTTCTGATGCACACAAATAAGGAATCCAATGCTGACTCACCCACCCAAGTTAGGATTCCAATCTTGGATTCCCTGCATTGGGTTAGACAAAAGCAGAAGAATCTAAACACATTTAAAGAGATGTTGACCCACCCACTTTGCTTGGGTTTTGGGTGCGTCAGAAACCATGTGAGGAAGCATTGGATTCAAACCATTGAACTTCATTATAAATAGACTACTTTCATTCTTTGAAGTTCTCACATTGCATACTCCTAAATCTTTGAAGCTCTTTGCATTATTTCTTCTTCTTACCTTTAGTATTATTTTTGTTCCACACTCCTAAAATGGGTGTAGTGTCTACTATTGTCCATTATGATGGTTTCATGAACCAATGTCCCATTGAGGGAGTTACCTTCAATACTGGGACTGCAAAACTTGTTCTTTTAAAGAGAGGAATTTCTCTACAAAGGTTGAAGAAGTTGATCCACAGGAAATTGGAGAAAGAACCCCACGAAAATGTAGCAACCATCCATTTTCGCTGCCTAACTAGACTCGGAGTTGGGATCAACAACTTCATTGTTGTTGAGTTGAAAGATGATGACGACGTAGAGGCCATGTTCGATGTTCATGATTCAAACTCAAGTCTATGTGGTATTGAAATTTTTGTTACATTTAAAACTTCTTCTTCTTCATACCTCAACACACACTCACCTGAAATCTCACCTTCACCCTACCAAGCTTTCCCAAACACTGACCCATAAATACCCACAGATAATGACTACATCTATTTTACCCAACTTTTAAGTGGGTCTTCCACCAACATCAACGAAGAACTACCCACACAAGAGAACGAAGATGTTGGTCTCCCAATTGAAGTCGTTGATCCTTTTAGTGAGGACGAAGATGAAGATGAAATTCTCAGCCAACAACAAGATGATTCAGAGGACGAACAACCACATATTCCTACACATGCACCAAACTTCATGGAACCATACAACCCACCACAATATTTTCTTAACTTCGAAAGTCACATTCAACAACAAGACCTAGAGTATGGCCATGCGTTGGACAGAGAGTCTTTTGTTTCTCCGGCAGGAACTCTATTTCTTGGACAACGTTTCATAACAAAAAAACAAGTTCAAGATGCCATCAATCGCTTTCACATTGTCAATCACTGCACATACAAGGAGAAAATTTCAAACCAAAGTAGATATGTTGTTGAATGTGTTGATAATCAATGCAATTGGAGATGTCGAGCAATATTGCACACAAGAGAGCAATATTGGGAGATTATGAAGTTTGAAGGGCACCATACATGCGTTTCGCCATTAATCAACCAAGATCACAATAAGTTGGGATATAAAATGATTTCACAAACAATTGGTCAAATAATTGATGTTGATTCGTCAACACCAATCTCCACAATCATAGCT